ATATGTTAAGAGTTTTATATGGAAAAGCATTTTATGACCTGATTACAATATGGAAGTCGTTACTTTTGCTTACTTTTTCCTCTACAGGTGGAGGGTCACACTGGATTAAAGATTACATCTTAAATCCTATCACTTCACATAGATTCATTTCATTGAATTGTGGGACTGATTTTAATATATTGGGCTTTCGGTGTATGGACATGTATGAGCTTTCAGCATTTGTTATTTTAGACACATGCATATTGTTGGAAGATTTTGTTAAGTGCTGCCTTTGATTGTGCTTGTATTTATCTGAATTTTAGGTCTTTTGTTTTACCTAATTAGAGAACTGTAAAAGTGACAGGAAAAGAAGACGTGAAAAAAATAGTTTCAAAAACTAAACAAATGACGGCCTAATTCTTTAATAGTCCCAACAAATGGATTGTGCTTGTCTTCCGGTTAACCCTTTAGCTAACTAGCTCTTCCTCATTTCCCACAAAACTTAGAGAAGTCAGTTTTATAGTTCCTGCACTGCTTCAAGATTTTGTGACTATAAAGAATGCAAATAACATTATGAAAATCTCAATTACAGTCAAATGATGTGGGAATCTGGGGGTACACAAAGATAGAGTGTTTTGGCAGAATTCACTGTTTACAGACCAGTAATATGGTTACCTTTATAATTATGCAAGTAAGAAACCAAATTGATTCATTTTTAAAAACATTTTGTTGAGCATGCTTTTTAGTCATGTCCAAAACAAAAGAAAATTGTACTGAGGCCCACAAAAAATATGCATTCATTGCTTTTATTAACTTACCAGGCAAACATAAAAAAGCAAAACTGAAAATACTAAGTGAAGTTCTTAAAAAACACAGAAAATATTGGTGTGATGAGATACTAGTCATTCTTTTCATATGAGACCTCATGTGGGAGCTTACACGGTATTATATGGATCCTATGAGTCTTAGTGAAGATTAAAAGTTGACTGATTGTTCTTGTGGTTAGTGTACAATATAATCAGCTCAGCTCTCCAGACTCTGTGAGTACGTTAGTCTCAATTCCTCAATGTGCAGTATCAGTAAATTAAACACATTCTCTATGACATTTCCCAGTTCTGCTGGGGAATGAAAATTCTGTCTAACCTACACAGACATTTTAGGCAAATTAAAACATTTTCATAAATTCAGTTATAAAGGAAAAAAATCAAGAGATAAATTGTACTGAGTGCTAATGTGAAACATACTGGGAATGTTTCACTCACAATTTAAACCATGTTTGCTGGTTTGGTGTCAACAACAAGCTTATGGGTTCTATTCATCACCAGTTCTATGTCTCTCATGTGGGTCAAATACGAAGCTTCTTATGTTATATTAAGCAACTTACTCATAAAAGTGTCCTATTTCTGCTTGAATAATGTAAGCACAAGTTTTGTTTATCATGTGCAGATCCCAGACATAGCAGTCAATGAGTACATTTCTTATCTGCTAGATTAAATGTTAAATAGCAGGGGATACCTAATGACTAAACAGGTCACCACCAATACAAATGATCAGTCTTTTAAGACTATTTAAGAAGTTAAATGCCCAGTTTTCAAGTTTTCATCTAAAGTCTTTTCAAATGACTAAAAGTTTTTCACACATTTTGTAGGAAAATGTTATCTGAAAAAATGAATGTTTAAACTTGCAGTCTAGTCTTACCTGCAAAACTACTCTCTGGCATATTAGGCTATCATAGACATAACTAGGTTGAGTGGGTAAACATAAATAAAGTGTATCTAAAGCCATTTTGTATTTTTGACAGAATTGGAAATAATTAAAACCTCTGTCAGGTTGTCTTTCTTTTCCATTTGCCCTGCGGACCATTGTCACAGGGAGTGAAGAAAAATGAAGAGTCAACAATTTAAGTTGTGATTGGAACAGGAATAGCGGGGACAATTTGCAACAGGGACTCATGTTCCCTTACTGTGTAGGGATTTGTCCTCACTTCCTCATTTCCTGTTGTGTCTCCATGTAGGAAAATCTCCCCAATGCATTAGAAAAAGAACCCCAGAAAACAAACATGCCCTGCTCTATCTGAAAAGTTTTGACTTTGGATATACTTTAATGTCCCAGTATAAGACTCTTAAAGTTAGAGTAACAATTTGGGGGTTATTGCAATAGAATTTTCCTTTCGCTTAAGGCGGAGCTTCGCCCAAAAGAGGATGCTTTTGCTTGTCTGCCTCCCCCCCCCATCTACTGCCATATTTGGCACTTTTTAGGGGGGAGCTGGCACCTGGTTTTGGCAGGTATGCGCTCTCATGGCTCAGTTTGCCATGACAAACTTAGCATAAAGTTTTCCCCCCTGCAGTCTTCCTGGACACTTCACAGGTCACAGAAGACTGTGGGATGAATCCCAAGGAGCAGCGCGACTTGCTCATGCTCAGTAGGAAACTGGCTGTGAAGCTGCAAGGCTTCACTTCCGGTTTCCCTTACTTGCAATGCTGGTGCCAGGAACCTGGAGGCTAGTGAAGAACTACGACTGCGCTGGACCCCTAGACAGGTAAGTGTCCTTATATTAAAAGTCAGCAGCTACAGTTTTTGTAGCTGCTGACTTTTAATTTTTTTTTTGTTAATCCTCTTTAATGAATGTAGTTAAAATTCACTTTGCACAACTCATCCAATCTTGTGCAAGAAGAATTAAAACAACAACAGTTTTCCTTGCAGATGATTGGATGATGGAAGTCAACAGAGCTTCACCTCATTTACTAAGTTAGGGAATAATTCTCTTGCAAAGTGAACAAAAATGAACATCATTTTTACCTTTAGTAAATCAACCCATTTTGTCTATATTGATGTTATATTTTATTTTACACCATCAACAATTTCTAAATATTGTTTATGTACCATTGTCTTTGTTAAAAAATAAAAGAATCTTTTAAACCTGTTCTATCCAGAGTCTCCATCACAACATCCTGTGCAGTGATTGAGCTTTTCTTTTGTCTTGAGGTCATATTTATAAAGCAGTTAATATGACTTGCACTAAACATTCACTGATGGTTTATCAATCACTGTAATTTAAACACATGGTCTTGGAAGAATCACCTGCAATGAATGTTTTTAGAATGTCACTTTCACTGTAATAGAAATATGCGGCTTGGTGATTATAATGTATAACAATATTCTGTATCACTTTATTTCCAGGAATAATATGTTATGCAAATTGTATTACGCTAAAGACATGCTTCCTTACTCCCATTCTCACATAAAAGTGCAAATTATTCTTTCTAATCTATTATGATATGGGTAATATCACTCTTGGTAGATCCATCTGAGCAAAGAAATAAGAGCACCGTATCATATAAGGATCTTAACAGTACTAGGGCCACTGGAATGTACTGTATATTTCATTTCATTTCAGGTACTTATATAGCGTTGTCAATTTACGCAGCGCATTTACATATATATGTTGTACATTCACATCAGTCCCTAACCCTCAAGGGGCGTACAATCTAAAGTATTATCAATACAGTGTATATATATATATATATATATATATATATATATATATATAATATATAAATAGAAAAGAATAAATGAACTGTATAAATACTGATGTTGACTCTCTGTTTAGACATTTAAATGAATACTGTGCACATTTTTTTTCAATTATTCTAAATTCTGTCATATTTTTATGTTTAACCATTGTTCCATGAAGTGGCAACTTAATAACCCTTTAAATGATTATGGAAGTAATTTTAGTAATACAAAATACTTTCAAGTACTGGAAGTCTGCTAAAAAGTCTTTGTTATTACTTAGTCTGAGGTCATCATCCTTAGGAACAAATTGCTCTCTGAAGCTTAGCAAATGCACTGGCTCTATAGAGGGATGTTTGCATAGCAAATTATCTGTAAATTTGAACATTGCTTGAATAATTCACTCCACTGTTTTATCCAGACACACTGGACGCATAAAAGCCATCACAAATGTGTTAAGCCTTCCAAGTTTTCAGTTCAAAGACCTGCTTTAAAAATATTTAACATGCAGCTCTGCACCGACAGGCCAGTTGGGTAGAACAAAATAACCTGTTTAATTTAATATTGAAAGAAAAGATTCTCTTTAAATTCAAATACACTTGAACTCAAGATGATGAATTAAATTAACCCAAATACTGTGAGAGGATTTGCTAAACTGTAATTAAAAGTGATAGCAACTGTTCTGTTCAATATGGAAGATGCTTGTCTCCAGTTTATAAAAAGATTGCCAACATTCATACAGCTAGAAGGAAGGTTTGGTATCTTACATAAAGCAAATGCTCCTTAGTCCTGTAGCACAATTTTATTCCAATTAACAAGATGGACATCTGAACTTAATTTTATTTAAAACTGCTATTACCAGGGGCATTTCAAAACCCTTTCTATAACTAAAGTTCATGCACCAGAACTCCATATTGGATTTGGCAACAACTGATTTTTAAATGAGTAATCTCTACCTTAAAATCCTCCTAATTTCAAACACACTTGCAGTTTAGAAAAAAGGCCAAAAATAAATAATAAAATTTGCAGTGCATCTGAACTCAGTGTTTAACCAATTGCCCTCCACAGGATTTACCCCTATTCTTGAACAGGCCATTTTTAATGATATGGTGCTGCGTTACTTTAACTGCCAATTCCATGGTCATGCAGCGCTGCAACCAAATTAAGTTTATGTCCTTTTTTTTCCCACAAATAGAGCTTTCTTTCAGTGTTATTTGATCACCTTTTTTATTTTTTGCTCTATAAACAAAAAAAAAAGACCAACGATTTTGAACCCCCCCCCCCAATATTTTTGACTTTTTGCTATAAAATATAAAAATAAATAAAAATATTTTAAATCAATTTTCGTCATAAATTTAGGCCAAAATGTATTCTGCTACATGTCTTTGCTAAAACAAAAATCCCAATACAATACAAAATTATCTGGTTTATGTTAAAGTTATAGCATCTACAAATGGTGTATATATATTGAATTTTTATTTATACTAGTAATGATGGCAATCAGCGACTTATAGCAGGACTGTGGCGGGCATTCTGACACTGGGGGGGGGGGGAACTGACTAACTGCCACTGACATGCTAATGACACTAATGCACTGATCAGTGCTAATAAAAAGCACTGACACTGTGCTAATGGCACTGGGCAGGAAGGGATTAACATCTGGGGCGATCAAAGAGTTAACTGTGTGCTGTTTAATATAATGTGCTGTGTGTGTTTTACTAGGGAAACATGCTGCTGTGTATTTCTCTGCTGTGCAGAGAAATACACAGCAGCATGTTACTGCTGGCAGGAGAGAGACCTGTGTTGTTTACACACACAGGTCTCTCCCCTGTCACTGTTTCAAGGAGATCGCCAGGTGCTGGCGGGCAATCTCTGTCCGGGACCCGGTGATCAGCATCTGTAGCCGCCAACAGCAACACGGGTAGGGTGGTGTGCATGCATGCACCCCCTACGCAGGAAATGCAAATCACGTATATATATAAAATCAAATATAAAATCAAAATATGTGTGATTTTGTGCAGCCCTGCCACGCTGTAGCAGTATTTCTGCTATAGGGTGGCAGGGAAGCGGTTAAAGTATCACTAAAGGTAAAACATTTTTTTAGTTTTGAATAGATTGGAGAGCGCTTGTCAGTTTTTATTGCTGCTTGTGCCCCCGTTAGGGAAATCCTATTTGTCCTGTTTACCATTATCATTGAAAGTTAAAGTAAAAGAAAATCCCACATTTTTGGTTGCCCCCAGAAAAGTGATAAAAGGACAATCTTCCAATGGAGACACTAGTTCTGGTGACCAGGGGGTTCACAAGGAATCCTCTTTATTTTCAGGGATTTCCTCTCACTTCCTGTTTGGCCATGGGACAGGAAATTAATGGAAATCTCTGCAATGGGACACAGATGTCAAACAGAAAAATCTGACAGGGGTTATAGCCCTCCCTTGCTTTATCCAAAATGAAAAAAAAAAATGTTTGGCTATAGTTCTACTTTAATGCACGCATGGGTTTCTTGGCTAGTGTCAAAATAGTTCCACTGAAAAATTAAATATTTTAGAAGGGCTATGTCTGCATTACTTTGACATAAAGATCTCTGTTCAGTGTAACACAAAATACTTTATGAATATTTTTGGTGGAGCAAATTACTATTTGTGACTTTGACACTTTGAGCCTGTTTGTTTTTCTTATCTAAAAAATTGCAAGTCTGTAGTCGTTGCTCTACAAAACCTTACTTCATTAAAACTAGATGTGGGCAGGGCTAATGTTTACCAAAATGTTTACCATCTAGATTTACAGTCACTTATTAGTGCATGTTGTAGCAGGAAAGTGGAATAAAAATATTTGTCCTATTTATTATAAGACAGACTAAGCAAATTGGAGAATTAGTGCATTTTTATTATGCAATTATTTTCACTTACTTCTATTGATGCATTTTAGAAAGTAATCACTCTTATGTTCTGCATGTTATATACTGAGATTATGTGAATAGCAAATGAAAAATTCATGAAGTTGGTGTTTTCACTAACACATCATGAGTAAGTTTAGTTTAACAGTTCCACAAGTTCAGTACACAGAGAGTTAAACAAAGTATGGCTTTATGGCATGACATGTCATGTTCATCATATTGTGTCAAGTCACATTAAACAGCACCATCTCTTGTGGTGCAGAAAGAGAGATAACCCCATATAACCTTGTCTTATACATCTTTCATGTGTTTCCAAAGAGCACTGCAGCTGAATTAAAGTGAAAAGACCACAATGACTATCAAAATATACCTGTAAGAGTTATTACTTAGCACTGTAATCTGTAGATTTAGCTACATAAGATAAAATATCATTACTACCATATTCTAGAATGCAACAGAACAATGGAGAAAGCATGAGATAAAAGAAATACCTTATAGGATAAAGTACTAATTCATAAGAAAATATTTTATTTAAATCCCATTCTCTTTTGTTATTTCTCAATGCTAAAATATGTTCTTGTAAGTACTCTATTTGTCAGTGTGTCTGATCTATCTATCTATCTATCTATCTATCTATCTATCTATCTATCTATCTATCTATTAATTGATCTTGTAGTTGACATATCATTTGGTTTGTATTGATCTCAGCTATTTCATGTTCTTAGCATCAGCTTTTCAATTATCTAATTTCTGTGAGTAAGATTTTATCATTATGACACAGCGCTAATTGCAGCTACCAATTAATTATTTAGGTCATTGAGTGATTATGATATACTGTTTATTTGTGAATTGAAGTTGTGGCATGAACTTTGATGTTAACTGCAAAATGATTAACGTCATTAAATGATTATGATATAATGTATATTTGTGAACTGTTGTTGTGGCATGAGCTTTGATGTTAAATGTAAAGTTGTGTTTTCTATTTTTTATTTCAGTCTTCACATTACAGGCATCAATGATTAAATTGGTTCTAAAGCCTCAAGGTTTTTTTTACCTTCATGTATTCTATGCATGAAGGTAAAAAACCTTCAGTGTGCTGCGCTCCCCCAGGCCCCCCCAATCCTTACCTAAGCCCCCTTAGATCCAGCGACGTTCACAACAGCCTCTACTGTCTGGGGACTCCTCTTCCTTATTGGCTGAGACAGCATCGGGAGCCTATTGGTTGCTCTGTGCAAGACCACTGCACAGAGCAGGTGAGTATAGACATGTTTGTTATTGATTAAGAAAGTGCGCAAAATCACTTACATATACGCGATTTTGCGTTTCTGGATAGGGGGCGCAATCATGCGCCATTCATGGCTGTGGCTCTCAATCACCAGGTCCCGGTCAGTGATTACCTGCCGGCGCCCGGAGATTACCGAGGAACTCCAACGGGGAGGAGGGCTGCTTTGTTTACTACGAGTCCTCCTCCCTGTTGGCTCGGTCACTCTGCTCTGGAGCAGCGTGCTTACAGAGAAGCACCAACACACCGCCCCCCAGTAAAACACTCCCAGCACACAGTTAACCCTTTGATTGCCCCTCATGTTAACCCCTTCCTGCCTAGTGCCATTAGTGCAATGTCAGTGCTTTTTTTTTTAGCACTGATCACTGTATTGGTGTCACTGGGGATGTCAGCAAGTCAATTGTCAGTTCCCCCCAGTGTCAGAATGCCCACCGCAGTCCCTCTATAAGTTGCTGATCGCTGCCATTATTAGTAAAAAAAAAAAAAAATTCCACCATTACTAGGATAAACATTTGTTTAAAAAAAATTTCAATATATATACCGTCATTTGAAGACAATATAACTTTCTCATAAACCAATGAATTTACAGGTATTGCAATTTTTTTTTTAGCAAAGACATGTGGCAGAATACATTTTGGCCTAAATTTGTGACGAAATTTTAATGTTAAAGTTTTTTTAATGGACATGTTTAATAGCAAAAAGTCAAAAATATTTTTTTCGCAAAATTGTCGGTCTTTTTTTTTAGTATAGTGCAAAAAATAAAAAAACACAGGCGATCAAATACCATAGAAAGAAAGCCCAATTTGTGGGAAAAAAAGGACATAAATTTAATTTGGGTTCAGCGTTGCATGACTGCGCAATTGTCAGTTAAAGTAACGCAGTGCTGTAACGCAAAAACGCCTGGTCAGGAAGGGGGGTAAATCCTCTGGAGGGCAAATGGTTAAAGCAATTCTAAAGGTTAATTTTGTATTTTGGAATATAACAAACATTACCTGCTGTGTTCAGTGGTTTTGCACAGAGTGGCCTGGATCCTCCTCTTCTCGGGCCCCCCACAGGCTCTCTTGGCTCCTCTTGTCTGTCGAGTGCCCCCACACAGCAAGCAGCTTGCTATGGGAGCACTCACTGATCTGTGTGTACATTCACACATGGAGCCGCAGCTTGCCCCTGCCCCCTCTGTCTCCCCATTGGCTGACTGGCTTGCTGTCTCAGCCAATGAGGAGGCAAAGACCCAGAACAGCCGAGGTTGTCATTCACATAGCTGGATCGTAATGAGGCTCAGGTAAGTTTTGAGGGGGCTGGGGGCACTGCTGTACACAGAAGGTTTTTTACCTCCATGTAAAGAATGCATGAAGGTAAAAGAACCTTCAGCCTTTGCAACCACTTTAAATTGCAAGTGTGACCAAATGGCAACGCTGTGGAAACGATTTAGGTGTATTATTATTCTTTATGAAAAAGCAGACAATAATGATGAGAATCAAATAAAGGTACACTCCAATCAAAGTTGAAAATACAGGTATTGCATTATTATACTAGTCCAACTTACTGCTGTTATGGAATACTGGTCCACCCCAGCTTTTATTCAAATTTGAAAGCTTATAATACAAAACCTTAACTTGAAAATTGACCACAAAAGTAAAGACTGTAAATACTGTACTGACTAATAACGATGTTTAATATACTACATGTAACTTGACTGAAGTAATTAAGAAAGGTCATCATTTGCGGTTTCCATACTATGTTGCTAACACAATATCTTTAATGTGCTCATTTGCAATTACAGTGTTAACATTTTATCAGTGTGCATTTTTTAAAAGATAAATGTTTTAATCTGCCATTCAATTTACATTACAGGAGCTCACTGTCAAAACTGCTATCTCTGCTAGCTGCCTTATCTGATTCCACAACTAATGTTACAGGACACTTCAGAGGATGGAACAAAGTAATGCATGAACTTTGTCCCATTGGAAACAAACTACTGTAAAAAAGTGATACTTTTGCATTATTCAAAATTTGTAACTTTCCAGACAATTTATATCTACCTCTGGTTCACACCCGTATGGGTTTGCGGTCCACATTTGCATGGGCACAGCAGCCTATTCATTTGAATGAGTTGTCATGCCTGGGTTTCCCAGAAAAAAAGGTGCTTGAAGGAAAATTGCATAGTGCTTTTGAGCATGCGATTTATTATTATTATTATTATACAGTATTTATATAGCACCAGAAAGGTTTGCTCAGCGCTGTACATTATAGTGGGGGACAAAACATGAGACAATACAGTAAGAAAACAATACACGAGGGGTTCGAGGGCCCTGCTCTTTCAAGCTTACAATCTAGGAGGGAGGGGAAAGTGGTACAGGAGGAAGTGGCTGTGGGGGATGGAGTGGTAGGAGCAGTGGAGGAGAACGGTTGTTAGGTGTGGGTGGGGTAGGCTTCCCTGAAGAGATGGGTTTTCAGGGTGCGCCTAAAAGTGAGGAGGGTAGGTGACAGTCTGATGGATTTGGGTAGTGAGTTCCAGAGGATGGGGGAAGTCCTGGAGAAGTCCTGCAGTCAGGCGTGGGAGGTGGAGACCAGGGAGCTAGAAAGTAGGAGGTCTTGTGAGGAGCGAAGATTACGGGTTGGGTGGTATTTGGGTATCAGGTGGGTGAGGTAGTTTGGGGCAGCGTTATGAATTACTTTGTATGTCAGTGTTAGTAGTTTGAATTTAATGCATTGGGC